ATTTAGTTGTCAAGATGTAAAATAAAATATCATGAGAAGTATCATTCTGAAATAGTTGATAAAGTTAATTGGTCAAGCATAATATGCAAAGTCAGTGACATAACTCTACATAACTCTTTCAGAGAGTGGTCCACACATTAACAGGAAAAAACAAAAAAATTATTTCATCATACACCATCATTTGTGGGCTGTCTGAGTTTAAAGTCATATTTGTGTACATACAGTCTATAGAATTTGCACACAGCCACAGTCCATGAACAGCTTTTTAAAGTCCAACGGATCTACAAACACATTTCATTCTATCGTTAGTCAAAATAGGAATTGGAAACAAATTAACTGGTATATAAAAGAATGAGATAAAATATAAGGGCACACATTGTAATACTCATGGTTAAGATTAGCTGTGTGTATGTGCTATCTGAATAAAATTTTTCTAGAAATGATGTTAGACTTTGATTTCAAGCATGGCTTCAAGAAGTGTTGGTAGACCATCAACTTGAATACCACGCAGCTTAAGATCTTCAAGTCTATTTGTCAAAGGTTGCTTATCTTTCCCTAAGGTCCACCAAAGGTGTACACAAAGTTGCAGCAATGGAATGTAGTACTTGAGAAGGTCTGCATCACTTACAGCTTCAAAGCGACGTAGAGCTAACTCAGCAAATTTCTCAGCACGTCCTCCCAAATGAGATTCTTTGGTGTCGGCTACACAGCATGCCACTAATCGACAGAGGGCAATAATAACATATGGATGTCGGTCTGTGTACAGTTTGTTGAGGAGTCTGAAAGCATTCTCCAGCAAAGGTATGGCCTGAAATAAAATTGATTTTAAAATACCAATAAAGATGATGAATAATAAATAACAAGATGTCTTTGCCTTGATGGTCTTACCAAATCATATCGTTGCTGAATCATCCAAGCTTGTGCTTCTTGTTGTTCAGCATTTTGTAAGAATGCAGCTAAGTTTGCAGACTGACTTAACTTTTCATTTTTGGTTGTATGCTTAAGTAGCATTTCAAATCCCTTTTGACGAGATTCAATAACAACAGGACCAAAGTTACCAATTAATACCTTTAGGGGAGAAGAAAAAGTTGTTTATTACATATATAACTAGGGTAAAATCTATTATACCACATTTAGATGATTTAGATTTACCTTTCTGGGGAATGAAACATTCGACATAAGTGTTGGAAATTCTTTTCTCAGAGCAAGAAAGAGGTCCAAAAAGTCAGAATAACGACGTTCAATCACTGCTGGATGTGGATCAGGTGTTTCACCGTCTTTCCTAATACTTATTGTGTAAGCCTAAAAGGCATGATTAATCAGTTTAAAAACATAAGTAGTATTTATAAAAACATGGTATAGTTAAAAATAACAATATTTAATATTTCTTGAAGAAACTTACCACATGCTTCTTTTGTCCAGCTTCAATACGAACAATGCGAACTGATACAATCTCAAACTTCACAGTTCCATACCCAAAGAGATGATCTCCATTGACAGCTGTAGTACTATTTAATGTTCCATTAATTGGCTTTTCTGGGAGGGGCATTTTCTTCCAAGTTTCTGTGAACCAAAAATTAGTGATCACCATCCAAGTTGATGACAAAGAAAATTACAGGATTATAATCTAGAAGCATTTGGAAACTTGGCTCTAACAAAATGGATAGAAAAGCACCAACACCTTTCGTGAAATAAATATGCAAAACTACAACAGGTGATTTTTAACATATGTTCTCGCAGTATCAAGGAAGGCAGGTGAAAAACAGAAAGCAAGGCAAAGACATTGCAGAACCTACGGATGTGTTCACCAGTGCGACTCCACTCTTCTGGTAGCTTTGTGAAGCTTAACGTCCCATGTGGCCATTGGTCTGGTTCATCATGGAGCTGTTCTGAGTCATGACTCATGATGAATCAAAGTAGATATTTTGGAATGAATCATACACCGCAGTCCGCTATCATACACATTCAAAGAAATGAGAAAAGTGTACTCCTATCGAAAAGAAAAGAAAAGAAAAGAAATTATACATAGACTAGACTTTAGAAGACTTGCCCACTAACGTATAGCAAAGAACGTTCACAAGAGATTACCACACCATAATCATTATTAAATTAGAGAAAGAGAACTAATGTTGTTCAGCTGATTAAAGGGTTGAATTAACAACAACCAAGTCGATTCATACCAGACAACAAATTGTGAATGCACACTCAAGTTGGATTTCCCCCTCACTACCGGAAACAGTGCGCACAAAGGGCGAGGAGAAAAATTATAACTTAAATAAATGAACACAAAAGGATTCATTGTCTGAACAGAGAGAGAGAGGGGCCAACCAATCTTAACCATATTTCAAACGTAGAAGACCCATGCTGATATAAAGATATATTATATACATGCATTGCACTCAATATAACATTTTCAGTTCTATTTACCAAATATCTGATTTTTTGATGCAAGTATCCAATGAACTGTAATTGGTGTCCTTTGTTGACTTTTGTTTACGAAGTACGAAGCCGAAGCCTTCTGAGCCTCCGAGCCTATAAAACTAATAAAACTAGGGAACTCCGAAATGCTAATATGAATGTGGATTCTAACCAACTGCAAATAGTGATACAGAGCAAAAAACGAAAAAAGAGAAAAAAAAAAACACTATACGCAGTGGCGACGCGACAAGCGCCGGCAGCGGAGTGAAACATTATTTACTTTTGATTTGAAACGATTTGTAACAGGTACGTCTATATTCGTTTGTTTGGTTTTAGTATGGTGTCAACTGATCATTATGATTCTCTGAAATTCGTATGTTTATGCCCTTTTGAGCACTGTAATCTTTGTTCTCTACACATTTAGGTTACTGTTCTAACCTGAGGGTTCTCTTTTGACTTTTTAAATGTTTTAAATGTTGATCATATGTGGCTTTATGGTTTTCCTTGTATTAAAAATTATTACTCTAGTTTGAGACGATGGTCTTGGCTCCTCTTCATCCTAGTAACAGTCGTTAAGTCTTCATTTTCTTCTAAATTGTATCCTTAACACATTTTATAAATATACTTCCGGAGGAACTGAAAGAAATGAAACAAAATAGTTATCTTATCAAGTGTCTCCTCTTTACACTGTTATCTTGTTGTTGTTCTTGCAGATTTTTAATATGACTGGGGAAACAAGAACCGAGTTTAAGCTACAAAACACACCTGATGACAGCATTTCTTCTGTCAAATTTGGTCCCAATTCAGTTCAATTTCTTTTGGTATCATCATGGGATGGTACTGTTCGGTTATACGATGTGACCAGCAACACCTTAAGACTAAAATATTCGCATGACAGCCCTGTGCTGGACTGCTGCTTCCAGGTACCTATCATTATTCAGTAAGACCTGATCAATTCAAAGCTGAAATTAAATATATATATTAGGTTTTGATTACTCTGGTTTCCTACAGGATGCAGTACACTCATATAGTGGAGGACTTGATAATACCTTAAAAATGTTTGATTTTAACAGCAATTCTGGTTTGTATCTATACTCTATTTTCTTTTATTTTGGCTTTTTTCTGTTGCAATATACGATACATTTTATCTTCTTTTAAAAAAAATTAGAAACCGTGGTTGGGACCCATGACAGTGCTATTCGAGCCATTGAATATGCATCAGAGGTGCAGGGCATCCTCACAGGCAGTTGGGATTCAACAGTAAAAATGTGGGATCCAAGGCAGCCAAGATGTGTTGGAACTTACAATCAACCAGATAAGGTAAAAACCACATTTATTTGATTCTGAGTTGCATGCAATTCGAAGCTTTTTTCTTAGCCTTAGAAGCCGCACCCCAAATTATTTTACAGAGGAGTCACAGGAAAGACTCCTATAAGACCGTTGCTGAAGGGGTACTTGTTTATTAAACATCTTACGACTTTCAGATTTAAGAATTGGGATAAAGGGTGTGGCTCAGAATTGAATAAATATGGTATATCAGAATTGACGGATACCATGCCTATTCTACACTAATGCCTAATGGAATACTTTTGCTTTAAGGTTTACACAATGAGTGCATGTGGAGAAAAATTCGTAGTTGGCACAGCTGGAAGAAAGGTTTTTGTCTGGGATCTACGAAATATGAATTTCATTCAGCAAAGAAGAGACTCGAGCTTAAAATACCAAACAAGGTGTATCAGATGCTTTCCCAACAAGCAGGTTTGTATATTAGGCGTGCCTTGTTGGTCTTTTAGGAAATACTGTTGCTTTTGACTATTATCCTCATCCTTTAGGCATACGTTCTAAGCAGTATAGAAGGTCGTGTTGCTGTGGAGTATCTAGACATTAATCCAGAAATTCAAAAGAAAAAGTATGCTTTCAAATGCCATAGAATTAAAGAGGGTGCCATTGAGCATATTTATCCAGTCAATGCCATAAGGTAATGTCTTGAATTTTATCTGATCTTGTGTTACAAGAATTCAAATTCAAAATCTTCTTTATAAAATATCTTATGTCCAGCTTCCATCAGACCTACAATACTTTTGCCACTGGGGGTTCAGATGGATATGTGAACATATGGGATGGTTTCAACAAGAAGAGACTTTGTCAGTTCCACCATTATCCTACATCCATTTCCTCCCTGTGCTTCAGTCATGATGGTAGGTCATTTCTTTAGAAGGGAACTTCCTTCTATTGAGTGTATTTTGTATTTTGTTAATTTCCTCTTTTTTTTTTCCAGGCACTGTATTAGCCATAGCTTGCTCGTACCAACATGAATTAGAAACACCACCTGATCCCATTCCTGAAAACAATGTTTTCATCAGGTATGTTACAGACCAAGAAACTAAGCCCAAATAAACTCTACCGAATCCAAAGATTTTTGTTTAGATGGATGGTAATATTTTACTACTATTGGAGCTAGGCAATTATATAAATTCAGGCAATCTTATGTAATCAATTATGTCTTTAAATGATTGACTTAAAAATTGAAATTTTCTATTTCCCATCGTGTATGAACTGCAGCAGAACTTTGTCATTCAACCTTAAAATAAAATGTTCAGGTGCAGAATAAGAGATTTAAAATAATTTTTTATGTTTATTTACTCGAGACAAGCATATTATGGAATGATGCCACATCATCAAGTTATGAATCCACAATTGGAGGGACTAGACTATTATTGTCACCTAATGTCTCAGAGGTGCAAATTTACTTGCTAGAGAATTACACAGTAATTAGTCATTGGAAAGTAACAGTTACACAACTTTTATCACAGGATAACTGCCTTACAGGCACAAGCATCAGCCTACAAACTGAAATTACGTAGGTAGTTAAAAATATTGCAACAAGTTTTACAATGAAATTTGAATTGGTAGGTCTTCAATTAAAGAAGCAATTCACCAAAACAAAAATGAAAGACACACACACACACAAACACACATACGACCCTTATTGCGTTTCTTTCACATAAGAATGAGGCATTGATCTGTACTCGAAGTCAAGTGAAATTTGAAACCATATAACTCCATTTTCTCCTTAATCAAGAAGCAGTGCTGGAGTCGCTACCATCACAATTTTTAAAATAGGACAGAAGCAAAAAACACTTTGTACAATGTAGTCTTGATTATTACAGTTGCAAAGCTAGAGCACCTAAATGACTTCAGGCCTACTTTTTGAAACAACACTAGATTAATTAAATGAAAAGAGGAGAGTAGTTATAAAATATCAACTGAAAGTTTCAAAGAAGTATAGAAACAACACAGTTCTTCACTAGGTTGTTAGGAAGACAAAAAGAAAAAGAACACTTGTTTCACCTAACCTTAGTATTTAGATGCTAAGAGAATAATAAAAATAATCTCTTTTAAAAATAAGAGCTGCAAGAAAATGTAACAGCAAACATTACTTTGCTTGCATGTAACTGACTATTAGATAATACAGACATGTGGTACCACAGTCATGAATAGACTGTCAGAATTTCTGATCACTGGAAGAAGAGGCCTAGATACCATTAAGACTGCGTTTTCAAAACAGGAAAGCACTCGTAGAAAGGAAGTTAACCTTAGCACAAACCTGCAGAGGAAACAATGCCTGCATGCAGGTGAGTATTTCAGGCATAATATTTGCACATACAAAACAGAATCACACAGGTTTAGATATAAGATTTAAAGAAACCATTTTTAACATCACAGAAATGAAAAGAGTACAAAGTTTCACCTTGTGCTTATTTTCTTTAAGTGACAAAGTTGCAATTAATATACCTACATATCATCAGATATAAAATCATTCAACAAGGATACTTTCATCAATACTACTGTATGACAGGAAAACATAAGAAAGGCAAAACTTGTTCACAAAACAAACTTATAACAAAATAAATTACATTCAGACATTCTGTGCACACACTCATTAATATTACAGTAATAAGACTACAGAAACAAGAACTTCAGTCTTAAACAGCCTGCTAATTATGCGTTGCATCAATATTGATTTAAACTTTGTTTGTGGGAACCACCTACCTTAAAATGCAGGAAAGCAGCTAGTATGACAGGGGTCAAAATATACTAAGAGACATTGAAAATGTCATTTCTGAAATTTTTTGACTTGACTAAAATTGGTTTACACCAAACTGCAATTCAAAAGTACAAAATAATCAGAAGAAATAATTGAAATATCACAATAATAGCTTTAAAACAAAACTTGTCATCAGCATTTGTGTGACTAAAACAAAATAGATAACTGCATTTAACACTCTGTGTAACCAAAGTATGAAGAAATATTAGAACATTAATTTTTTCACACTCTGCTTCATAGACAGTTTACAAATGACTCCTCATTTCATTTCATAAGAACCCTGACAGACAATAGAAAATTTCCAGAATTTTCATAAATGCATCATCCAAGACTGAAACCACAACACACACCACAACACCATTTATCAAAATTATCACAAATTGAAAAGGCCAATATTTCACATTTCAGGTTGGAAGTTATTTAGATGCCCCATTATAAAAGAAACTATAAAAATTATTCTACTTTCAGTCGTTTACTGAATTCTTCTTGCTGCCTTTCTTTCCATTCTGGTTTGGGTTTTGTTCTCTTTAATTGGCCATCCCTGCAAAAGCAAAAAGAATAGACATCTAGAAAAAAATACCCAATAAAGGTAGTCTTTAGGTGTTTCTGGTCTACTCACCACATTAGATCTACAAGGCCACCTTGTTTAGCAATCACCCTCTTGACTCTGCTTGCAAATGAGACAGAGGACTCTCCTTCCTCCCGGATAACAGGCGGAAGATACCAAACATCACAGACAATTGCCCAGCTAGTCATCATCATGTACAGATACTGCATCATTGAGTACCGACTGCTATTCCAAAAGGCATCACCAAACCTTGGATCATACTATAAACAAGAATTAGAGCAATTAAAAAAAAAAAAAACTTGACAAAAACCTGATTGACTGGAAAGTAGAACTAAAAGCCCAACGCACCTTAATAGCAACAGGATAAATAGCACCATTCACTTCAAAACTGCCTTTTTTGAACTGCATCACTGATGTGTTATTGATGCATGTACCCTCGGGGAAAATAAGAATGGGTGGATTGTTTGGATCTGAAACATGTTTCTTTAACCTGCAACATGGTTTAAAATATAAGTGATTTTGCAGGAAAAAGACTGGAAAAAGGATCAAAACAAAAATGACATACCTTTGAGTTACAGCAGTACGATCTTTCACTTCCCCTCTTTCAAACCAAATGTGGGGTGATGCTCTTGCAAGTGCTCTTTGAAGAATACCTAAAAACCCGCCATGTCTTTGCCCAATCTGTAATAAAAAGTAGTTGATGCAAAATACTGAAATATGACAAGGAAACTTGATTTTAAATAAGAAAATCAACATTAACTCTTCATTCTTACCAAAGAGTAACAGTTGTCACAGGCAAGAACAAGAACATCAATGGGGGACGTGTGATTAGCAACACAAATGCCATGCTGAGGACGATTTTCTACATTATGATATGTAATGACAGCTGACAATGCATTTGACAGGACACCAAAGCACATAATGGACACACGGTGATTTAACCACCTCTTGAACTTCCCTTCCGGAATATACCCAACAATACTAGTACAAAATGTCAGCCACATCACCTGTAGACACAAGGACAGTACAATACAGCATTTTACAGTTTAACAGTCAAACAGTTTGAAAGTTTGAAGCACCAATGACCCACAACAAACAAAACCCCACCCAAACAGGAGAGAAAACCACACTGCAACCTAGAAAAACAAATCTGTCTCACAGAACAGCACATTTACTGCACAAATTATAAAATTGCTTCTGAAACAACTTCCCACAAACAAGACAGACAGTAAGTAACAGTGTAGACAAAACACCACAGGACAGGGCCATACATTTGTTGACCAGTTAACTCACCAAAGAAAAGGTGGTCATGGTACTCAAGATAACTACATCAATAGGGGTGGTGTGATTTGCCACACAAACCCCTCCGGTTTTGGGCATTAACTCAACATTGTGGTAAGTTAAGACAGAAGAGAGAGAGCGAGCTAAAATCCTGAATGATGTTAGCATCACCCAATTATTTAAAATTCTCTTGAAAGAAGATTGAGGAACAAACCCGACTAAAAAGGTTGCAACCAAGGTCCATAACAACTGAAATTTAAAAAGCATTTCAACTAAAAACTCTACCAGAAAGAGAAACTACAAATGAAATTAAATGGTCTATTATAGAATGCATAATTTAATTTGGAATTCTGTAAAGGGAATAAAATTAAATGTCACACATTAAATTTGTACATTTGAATACTCACCCCAAAAAAGCATATTGTTACCCGGAGAGGAAATAAAAAGCAATATCTTAAAAGGAATCCACCCATCCATATTACTGTGAGTCTCCAGCTTATAAATTCATAACGTCTATTGGTACGTGTTAATAAATTCCAGGACTGCAAGTTAAGGAAGTATATATTAAACAGCAGCTCTCATCACAAAGAAAGTAGACTAAAACACTACGTAAAAGTACATACACATACCCTGAGCTCTTCAGCTTCAAATCTGGAAGTAACTTGATCTTCAATAATTGCTTCTACTCCTGCTCTGACAAATTCAAAGCAGTCTGATAATTCAAAATCACGCTTTATAGTGTCATAAGAGCTTTTCCTTTGTAGTTCCTCCTTAGCTTTATCCTGTAAAAAGATACATATAAACTTAACTTACGCATATTTGATTTTACCTTTTTAAACCTTTTTCAAAATTAATTTCACACAAAACCTTAAGAGCCGTGGCTCAATTAAGTTTCCATTTGTCAGATAGATAAATTTTTAATTAAATAATAATTGCTGGTAGATACTTACAGTATCATTTTGTATTCCATTAAAGTTCTGCTCAGGGTCAGGCTGCAAAATGAGGTCGTGACTAATAACATGTGAACTGTTCACTAAGACCCCATCCTGTCTGCAGCTATTTTCACAGACGGGATCCTGAGGAGAATCTGAGACTGGCTTTGCATTGCCGTTAGCAAGGGTTTTGCATTCTTCAGTACCCTTTGGTTCATAGTCATCTTTGATTTGGCTCTGACGCTTGGAAATTTCGATATTTTCTCGACCATACTAAAAACAAAAAAGAGAGAGAGGAGAATTATTACAAACTACTAACTTTTCATAAATGTTGAGTAGCTCTAACACAAATATAATCCACTTCCATTTTGTTTTCCCACGGATAACAATCCGTTATCGTGCCTCAAAACCATACAGAAACGCTACAGACATTTAAAAAAAGTGTATACTTGAATCAGAGCGAGCACTCCTGTGTTGCGAGTTTGCCTATTCTCTCCGCCGTCCTTGCGGCCCAGGAGGGTATGCAAGCCCGCAATACTGGGGTGTTTGATCTGATTCAGCTGATAGATACACTGTTGGTGAGAGCAAGAATTATGGAATTTTAGAGAAACTTAGGGAAGTGTGCACACATCTCAGTCGGTATAAATGGAAAGCATTTTACAGTGATTTTACAGTGATGCATAAACACTGTTAGTACAGAGTTGTCGAATAAGCGAGAGAGGGTATTCAAACAAACTCAATCGGCAACATAGGCGAGGTCAGGGGAGCCAGGAGGCGGGAAAGGGAGGACGAGGAGAAAAGGGGGGGGGAGGGGGTCCTGCTGGCGTGACCTAATGGAATGTGTCGACAGCCAACAGGGACTATTGCGTTACGAAATGGACGGCCAAAGACGGCTCTGGCTGAACTCGACGGGAAAGGAATGAATAAAAGCGGGTGAGAAGAGAGAAAATCGACGAAGCACGGCGAGAGGAGAGGCGAGGGAAGAGTCAGATTGGCGAGGGAGGGGAGGGAGCGGGGGATGGACTTCCACTGGAAGTGACCTAGTGGACCGGTCCAAACCCGAGTCTCAAGGTGAAGCCGAACTTGACGAGCATGCAGCGACGCACCTTGTGTGCTCAAGCATCGGGCAGCAAAAGCTGTGAACGAGTGAAACTACATTGGAAAAGATTGGGGCCTCCACGCGTCAAGCGGCGGCGGCGCCTCTCAGAGAGCTCAGCGAGCTCCGGTCGGGCCGTAAAGGAGAGAGGCGAGCGACTCGAGCGAGCAGCCCCGCCGGGGAGGCAAGCGGAGGAGACAAACACTCGAGAGGGCCGAGAATCGCGCGGATTCTTGCGCGACGAGGCCACACATAACTGCACACAACTCGGTGAGACGCTGCTCTATACACTGCCGGAAACGCCCCGAGGGGGGCCCCGCCCGAAACTACAGGGAAGTCCACGACGCCCAAGGGACTGGCCGGTTCTCACCGCGTCCAGCAACAGCAACACTACTTGTCATCCAGTTGCTGATGGAGCGAGCGCGTGTCGGCTGCAACCACCAGCTCCGCGGGGCGGGGCGCTCGATCATGATTGCGCACCAACCTTTGAAGCCCAATCGACAATATTAAAACAAAAAAATCGTCGTCAGGTGTAATGACGCGGGAGATCTCTCAATATGCAAATAGGGCCTCGTGGTCTTAAATCGCGAGCGACGAGAACCAACGCGATTGGCGCTGGCTTCCTTCTCTTTTTTTGTCGCGTTGCGTGCCAAGTACCCCAGACCGCGCAAAACAAGCATTATCTGCGACACACAATACAATGTGAGTGTGAGTGTGCGGTCTGGGGACCATAAGGGATCGTACGCAAACCACGTGACGGGTTTTTGGTGGGTTTTGACCACCCCCCTCCCCCC